TCTCTAGAATTCTTTCGATATAGCCTTTCTGAGGCAATCCCAATAATCTTTGTGATCTATCACAGAATATTTCTATTCCTATCACATAGGATGCCCCAACCATATCTTTTATTTCAAAATTCTTAGAGAGAAAATTTTTAGTCTCACGCAATATGCCTAAATCATTAGCAGCAAGTAGAATATCATCAACATATAGGACTAAAAAAATAAACTTGCTCCCATTGATCTTTTGGTATATACACCCATCAACGGTATTTTTCACAAATCCAAAAGATGTTATGGTATCATTAAACTTTATATACCATTGTCGTGAGGCTTGTTTAAGTCCATATATTGACTTCTTCAGTTTACACACCATTTGACCTTTTCCTTTAGTTTTGAAACCCTCTGGTTGGTCCATATAAACTTCCTCCTCGAGGTCTCCATTAAGAAAGGCAGTTTTCACATCTATTTGGTGTAACTCTAAATCATAATGAGCCACCAAATCCATAATAATTCTTAACGAGTCTTTCTTTGAGACCGGTGAAAAGGTCTCTTTATAATCAATGCCTCCTTTTTGAGTATAACCCTTTGCAACAAGTCTAGCTTTGTATCGTTAAATATTTCCATTTGAATCATGTTTGGTCTTAAAGACCCATCTACACCCGATTCTTTTAGAACTTTCTGGCAATTCAACGAGATCCCAGACTTTATTGTATTCCATGGATTTTAGCTCTTCCTTCATGGCATCAATCCATTTGTCAAATTCATTACTTTTTATGGCTTGTGAAAATGAAGCCGGATCCTTATTAAGACGAATGTCAAAATCTGACTCTTGCAAACAAACCACGTAATCATCCGAAATAGCCGATTTTCTAATTCTTTGAGATTTTCTTAATGGTATTTATTGTGGTTCATTTATGTCAGATATTTGTGAGTCGGTTTCTTCAAGAAGTGTTTCATCCAAATGTTGCTCGGTGTTGTCAAAGTGTTCTTCAACAACTGGAATAATATTTGATATTTGTGTGGAAGTAGGCACATTCGTGGGTAATAGAATATTGACCCTCACCTCTTTTATTTCCCCACTTTGCTTTTCAACACTCCCACTAACTTTATCATTCTCAATGAATCTTGCATTACCGGTTTCAATAATTCTCGAACTATGGTTTGGACAGTAAAACACATACCCTTTAGATTTCTCTGGGTAACCAATAAAGTAACCACTTACTGTTCGAGAATCTAATTTCTTTTCTTGTGGAGTATAAACTCTAGCTTCCGCTGGGCAATCCCAAACATGCAGGTACTTTAAACTAGGTTTTCTTCATGTCCACAGTTCAAAGGGGTCTTTGGAACTGCCTTACTAGGAACCTGTTTAATAAATATACAGCGGTTTTAAGAGCATACATCCACAATGATTTGGGTAATGAAGAATTACTCATCATGCTCCTAACCATATCCATAAGTGTTCGATTACGCCTTTCTGCAACACTATTTTGTTGAGGTGTTCCTTGCATAGTATACTGTGCACATATGCCATGTTCCTCGAGGAACTTTGCAAATGGACCTGGACATTGTCCCGATTCATTATATTTTCTATAATATTCACCACCTCTATCTGACCTAATAATTTTCACCTTTTTATCTAATTGCCTTTCAACCTCATTAACAAACACCTTGAGAGCATCTGTTGCTTGAGATTTTTCTTTCAGCAAATATATGTATCCATAACGTGAAAAATCATCGATAAAAGTGATAAAATATTTCTCTCCACCAAAAGATGGAACATCAAAGGGTCCACAAATATCGGTGTGTATTATTTCAAGAAGCTAGGTGCTTCTTGTGGCACCTTTCTTACTATGATTGGTTTGCTTTCCCATAATGCAATCCAAACATATAGTAAGATCAATAAAATTTAGATTCGGAAGAATCTTATTCTTTACTAATCTTTCTAACCTTTCTTTGGATATATGACCCAAACGTCTATGCCACAAGTAAGCAGAACTGTCATCTAGTGAACTATGTTTAATTTCAATATTATGTTGAACATTAAGAAGGGATTCAGAAAAATCAATATCGAGTTTCAATTTATATAAACCATCACTAAGAAAATCAGAACCATAAAAAATAGCATTCTTATATAAATTAAAACATCCATTTCCAAAGTTTAAATCAAATCTAGAAACATCAAGTCTTGAAAGAGAAATCAAATTCCTAGAAATTGAAGGTACATACAAAGTCTGTAATAGATCAAGGTGACGTCCAGTCTCCATGATTAAATGATAAGTCCATATGCCTTTAATTGGAGCCTTCATATGATTTCTCATGAACAAGAAATCCTTATTTGGATTTGTAGTTTGGATCGTAAGGAATCCCTGCAACGTAGTAGATATATGAGCAGTTGCACCAGAATCAAGTCACTAAGTATTATTAGGAACTTCTATTAAATTTGATTCGAAACATACAAAAGCACTAATTGTACCTTTTTTTCCGAACCAAGCTTTGCGTTTCAAGCAATCTTCTGATAGTGTCCTTCCTTGTTACAGAAATGACACGTATCTGCCTTATGTTCCTTCTTAGCATCCTGTGAAGCTTTAGCAGGTGCTTTCTTCTTCTTGAATTTGTTGGGCTTCACTTTAAGTCCTTTACCAGCTCCTTGACCCATGAGGTTAATTGAATGACTCCCTTATTTCTTAAGTCTTGACTCCTCTTGAGTAAGCATACTGGACAATTCATTAACATTCCACTTATCCTTAATAGTGTTATAGTTAATTTGAAAAGATCCATACTCACGAGGTAACGAGTTTAGAATAAACTGAACCAAGAAGGAATCATCCACTTTCATCCCCAAGGTCTGAAGTCTTGCTACAATGTTAGTCATCTCGATGATATGGTTTTGCATACTACGCGACCCATCAAACTTCATGGTCGTGAGTTCAGCCATTAGTGTACCAACGAGAGAATTATCTGCAGAACGAAAATGTTTTTCCACAAACTTCAGGTATTCCCTGGCACTTTCTGTTTGTGGAATAGTACGCTTAATGTTGTTGGCAATATTCATTCACATAAACATAAGTCTTAGCCTATTAGAGCATTCCCATGCTTTATGGAAAGACTTCTCATCCGCACTGCTCGAATCAGTAATGACAGCGGGTTTATCATTCAGCAGAGCCAAGTCAAGATCCATCACACCTAAGTGGAATTGGATATGTTCACGCCATTCAGAGAAGTTCAATCCGTTGAACACAGTAACAAACGAAGCAAGCGAATGAAAAGGAATAGCTGCAAAATAGATAATACATGCTCACAAATCAATATGAATTCAACAAAACAGTTAAAGCATATCGCAATTCTCCTTTGGGTAAATACTACGACACACTATCATAATTTAAATGCCATTTAGTCTTTAATAGGTAATTAAATATTTTTAACCAAATATATATGCCATCTTTGGACAGACAATATATATTTGACTAAGNATTTAGTCTTTGGGTAAATCCTTAAGTTCTAGCAATAGTGAAAATTAATTTATCCACTAATTTTTAATTATAGGCATTTCATTAATTTCATGGATAAATTATAATTTTATGTATGCATATTTTCATAAACAAACTAGTTTGGCCACTTTGGTGACTAACAAATTATATAACATAAGTGCACACACAAAATAGAGATCATAAGATTTTATGCATGTGAATATTTTAAACAATCTAGTTTGGTCACTTTGATGACTAACAAACTATATACACATTAATCACATACATAAAATAAACAATAAATAGTTTCACCAACCTAATAATCCATAACAGATTACTATACGGCCTAAAAAATAAATAACTAATTTCAAATCAACTTATGACATTAAGGCATCATTAACGTTACTCCTGAATCATCGAATTCTTGCACATCATTATAATCGTAACTTCTAATATCACAATTTATATAATACAAAAATCTATTCAAGTATAGAGAAATACTTTTGTCATATTCTTACACAAAAATCAGTACTTAAATAAGTTAAATCAATAAACTGTAACAAATAATCATGGTGTGGCATTTACTATTATTAGAATAAATAATAGTATTAAATAATAGAGACTGTTAACCTAAAAAATGATTCTAAGGCAAACATAATTGAACAATTTTAGTTTCAAGTTAAACATAATGAAACCAGTAAAAATTGTTAATTTTAATTGATGCATAGAGCTAATGGGGACGAACACCAACCTAATTTAGTAAGACCCTCACAATCTTTCTGTTCCCGGCTTTAATAATGTTTTTGGACTTAACTAACATGGCAGATGATTCATGCTGCCATCCCACTTGATTATATTTTGCCCATTATAACTTATTTATACCAAACATAATAAGGCTTGCTTTCGAGATTGAATATCAATTTTATAGATCTACTAGAAATTCAAATCTAGTTATGTTGGGTTTCAGAAAACTTAAGGCTCAATTTTCTGAAGCGGAAGAGACAATAAATATTTTCATAGAAGAAGATTATCAGTTCTACTTCCAGGCTCATGATACCACATATTAGCATAAACTTTAATTGCATACCAGGATCTTGAACATGATAATCTGACACAAAATCGTACAGAAAACATACCTGAATCGTAAGCCATCATCGTGAAGCGGAAGCGCTAATTCAAATTGGTTTCTCGTCTCTTGTTAATTCATCGATTCTTAGTGTAATCGGAAGATTTGATTTGGAATTGAAACCCTAATAATGAGAAAAGAGAGAAAAAGAGAAGAGTAAAAATATCTGAGAAGAGAAATCAATTTCTTATTCTTATGTTCTGTCCAGAATGTTCGTGTATATATGAAAGTGAATGACTAAATAAAAATGGGCTAGGTATACATAAAGGCCCCAAACTAAATATGAAACAATGAGGCCCAATAGTTAATTCTCTTAGCTGTTGTCAAGTGGCCCAGTATTGTCAACACCTCTTGCCCTACCTTTCGTTATCGCTGACTTTAGTGATGGAAGAGAGAAAATAAAATACGGTAACTCTAATGGGTGTGCAGAGGGCCAATTTATAGAGGATCTCATTTAATTCGATACGTCATCAAGTAACCGATCGGACGGATGAGATTTGTTCATTAATTAAATATTAATTATGGGTCTTAAATTTATTGGGCCACCAAAACTTACTAAAATCTTATAGAGTATTATCCAAAGTGGACGGATATGGTCTCTGTCATTATTATCCACAGCCCACAAGGCAACAACATGTTGTACGTCATGCGCTATGTATAATTAAATTTCTTATTAGTTGTACACTTGTATTCGCTCCGTTCACTTTTACGTGTCACATTTTAATTTTTCACACTCCTTAAAAAAAAAAATTAAATATATAATTTATTATAATATTTATAGTAATTGATGTATATTTTATTAAATTTAAAAAAATAATTTAAAATAAGTACTAAATAAATAATATGAGTATAACAAAAAATTTATTTTATTGGATGAGTACTTTTTTCCATATAAAGAAAAAGAGCGGATACTTTATAGGAAAAAACGAAAAAAAAGAAAAAGAGTGATTTGGCACTGGACGTATTCTTGTTTCTGACGTGCATTTAAATCCACCTAGAACTACGTGCCACTCTAATCAATTTTAGTTTCATATCTTCTACTGCTTCTTCTTGTTCGTTTCTTCAACAGCTGACTGCATCTTAATCTGCTTTACTCCGTCAAAGTTTCATCATCCAAATATCAAGGTGCAGTTTTTTCTTCTTCTGAATTTTTGAGGATTTTTCTTTAATTTATTCTTTAACTCAATCACTATGTTACTATTTACGCATTAATAGTAATTTGTTAGATTTCAATGGTGTATCTTTTTCTTTTGAAATTTTTAGTTAGTTGCTTCTGAGTTGCATTCAGATTGGATCAGATAAACATAAATATATAAAAATTAATTTTTGGTTTCCTTTATGATTTGTTTCGGAAATAGAATAGCTAAGAAAAAGGTTCAAGATTTAAACTTTGAAAATTTCTTTGTGGGGGAAGGGGGATATTATTTTCCTAGTTAATTGGGCTACACTTTTAATCTTTGAATGGTGAATAAAACTGAGGAATTTGTAGAATCTGGAAAATTGGCCATTAAGTATTTGAATTTTAATATATTTAGACTGTACATGTTTGATCTCCTCCTCATTTGTTTTTAGCTTATGAGTTGAGGCTGATTTAGTTAGACTACTAGGTGTAGTTTTTCCCTATTAAATAAACTATACCTTTACAAATCAATAAGGGAATCCCTTATTTAGTCCGGCTTTGACTCGTTTGTTAAGGAATTACTCCCTCCGTTTCAATTTATGTGACATAGTTTGACCGACATGGAGTTTAAGAAAGAAAGGAAGACCTTTGAAACTCGTCACCTTAAATATGTCATAATATTTGTGTGGCTATAAAACTTATGAAACTTATAGGCTTAAACTTGGCATAACATTTGTGTGGCTAAAAAGTTTCTCAGTAATGGTATGAGAAGTTTAAGGTTAATTATTTACAAATATAAAAATATGTCATTCTTTTTGGAACAGTTTAAATACGGAAATAGTGTCACATAAACTGAAATGGATGGAGTATATTACAAAGGACGAAGTGTACTAGGCAAAGAGTTCTTTTTATTTTTATGAGTGTTTGGTTTTGTATGTACGTAGTTCTCCTATGAGTCATTTGATTGAGGACTAACATTGATCACGATGCAGCGAAAATGCAGAAAGAGGCAAAAAGCTCCTATTTTGATATGCCAGCATTGGATGTTTCTGTTGCATTTCCTCAAGCAACTCCAGCCTCCAACTTTCCTACATGCAGTAAGATCGAAACCTGATTCTATTTATATATTTACTTACTCTGTTTATCACTTGAATATACAAAGTCTCCACTCTTTTCAAGAATGTAATAAATTGCTTGATGTGCTTATTTGTATGTAATAAAGTCTCCTATTTTGGCCAGATTGTACTTCTACTAGTTTTTTATGGGTGTGCTATTTCTAAAAATAATTTATGTGATAGAAGAAAAAACTTTGTTGCTTTCTATCTTTGCCTCCTTATTCTGCGGGGTCATTGCGCTGACTGTGATGTTTACAGCTTCAGACTATTTTCAGTTTGACGATCTGTTAACTCCTGAGGAGCAAGCCATTAGAATGAAAGTGAGGGAATGCATGGAGAAAGAGGTTGCTCCTATAATGACGAAGGTATTTCCTTTGTTCTCTGTATTTGTTGGATGTGCTAATATCTTTTTGGATTCCGTTATTACAGTAATTGCTAATGTTGTGGGTAGAAAACAAAGATATATCCTTAATGCTTCAAGTCTCACATCTTCTGAGCAAATCTTTTAGTGCTATAGATGCACTTAAAAATGAACCCCTTTTTAATGTTTCTGAACAGTACTGGGAGAAGGCAGAGTTTCCTTTTGAAGTCATTCCAAAACTTGGTGCCTTGCACATTGCTGGCGGCACTATCAAGGTGCTTTAGAGATTGACAAATTTTTATATCTTATCACTTTGAGCGTCAATGAGCAATCTACTTACTTGTGGTTTTAGGGGTATGGTTGTCCAGGTTTCTCAGTTACTGGTAGTGCCGTTGCTGCAGCAGAAGTTGCCAGAGTTGATGCAAGCTGCTCTACATTCATTTTGGTGCATTCATCTTTAGCAATGCTCACCATTGGTAAGTCTTGTTATTGTTTGAAAATTGCTGCTGTGTATCCTTTTTGCTTTGTAGACACGTTGTTTGTCGAAAGTATAGCTCTATTTACCAGAGAGTGGTATTAGTCGACTGATCTTTTGGCGGGAGATATTCTTTATTTTATAGTATGGAATCATTCCATTACTATTAACTCAAGAAATAGACATCTCTGAGATATACGGTTTATGTCGATATGAGGTGAACTAATTATACCTTGTTGGTTTGTCAAGAATAGGGCTATGTGGGTCCGAAATGCAAAAGCAGAAGTACTTGCCGTCATTGGCTGAACTTAACACTATAGCTTGTTGGGTAAGAAACTTTTGTTATGGTATTTTCTTCAGCATTTATATCTGCAGTTACCAAACATAAGTTTGTAATCTCTGTCTCTTTGAACTTAGGGGCTAACTGAGCCGGACAATGGAAGTGATGCAAGTGCTTTAGGGACAACTGCGAGAAAGGTCTAGATTCTGCATTTTAAATTCAATCTTCAATTTCTATGCTGTTCTGAATTTGATTTTCTTTTTAATTTAGGAAAAGGTTGCTAAATATTCTTTTGGAAATTCTGTTATCTTCCTGATTCTAAATGATAGGTTGAAGGAGGTTGGATCCTTGAAGGGCAAAAGCGTTGGATAGGAAATGCAACTTTTGCAGATATACTGGTTATTTTTGCTAGAAATACATCCACAAACCAGATAAACGGGTAAGTACCAACATACTGTTTCTATATAATGTTAGTTGCGCTGGTAACTTAGGATCATACGAATTATCTCGTGGAATATGACTCTGCATCGTAGTTATGTGAATAAAATGACTTTTGCTATGGATTTCTCTCTGTCCCTTCACATGAACGTAGACCTTCCCTTTCATCCTCCCTCTTGACCATCTTAGTTTGTTTCTCACTATTGGTTTTTGCCTTGGTCTCAGTTTCATAGTAAATAAGGATGCTCCAGGATTGCAAGCTACTAAAATAGAAAACAAAATCGGACTACGGATGGTTCAAAATGGAGACATTCTCTTAAAGAAAGTTTTTGTCCCTGATGAGGATAGACTACCTGGTGTCAATTCTTTCCAGGATACAAACAAGGTACATAATATCGCCGGGGTGCTTTATTTGCTGTTGATAATCAATCATACATGCCAAAAGACGTTGTACATGCGACAAATAGTGCACCTCAGCTTTGTTGCTAATTTGCTTCGAGCAAAAGACAATTTTTTTGGGAGATTTTATATTGGCTCACAAGCTTTGGTCTATCTAATGAACTTATCTACATATTCATTATGTGCATAGATTTTCATCTTCATCTAAACATGATATTGTACGTCTCCAATTTAGTTAATGTTTCCATTGCTTACTTATCAAACAGAGTGCATCCTACCCCTATGGAAAAAGGAGGGAAAAAATAAAAAGAAACATAAAACAGAACTAGAAGGGGAAATGGAATAAATTTTTAAGGGATTATCTCATCATTTTTTTTAAATAAAAAAATCATGCATTTCCTTCTTACAGTGGGATTAAAATAGCACCTTAACAAAGCCACAGCAGGTAACATACTACATTTTATGTATAGTGACTCTTCTTGCCATCTCATGATGCGGTTGATCTGTAGGCAACACCCCTTATATTTCTGGCAAGTTTCTTTGTGATTCCTTTTTGACTTTCTACGACATAGAACAGAAGAACATTCTTGAACTCTAATACTTGATTTCTCCAATTTACCCTGATAAAAATGTTTTTACGAATACAGACTATATCAAGCAGACATGCTGAGTCTTATGGATGCTACAAAATCTAATTTAGGCTTGCTAAATACTGAAGATACTAATGTAATGCTCAAACCAGTACCAACCAAATATATGGTAGACCTGATTACCTAGCCTTTCTCACATCCACCCAAATCGCTCTTCTCCACTCTCCAATTTTGCTCACATCTTGTTATCCTTTTGTTTTGATGCGTTTTAGTCTACAATAATTGTTTATTTTAATGTCGTTGGTTTGATATTGGTGATTGATTTAGCTAGCTGATAGTTGGGTTATTGTTTCACTATCTTTCTCTTTCCTTGAACAGGTGCTTGCG